TAGTTATAGTAATATCAATATCAATGCCAAGTATAATCCCAATATCAGTTGCAATAGTAATGGCAATAACAAATTTAAATTAATAGCAATAGTAATAGCAAAAGCTATAGTAGTAGTTATAGTAATATCAATATCAATGCCAAGTATAATCCCAATATCAGTTGCAATAGTAATGGCAATAACCACTTTAAATTAATAGCAATAGCAGTAGTAATAGTAATATTAAAAGCTATAGTAATATCAATATCAATACCAAGTATAATAGCAACATCAGTTGCAATAGTAATGGCAATAACAAAGTTAAATTAATAGCAATAGTAAAAGTAAAAGCAATGCTAATGACCATAGTAATAGTAGTAGTAATAGCAATAGTAATACTAATAGTTAATATAGTAGTAATAATAATAGATTGGTTTATATATGGTCATTACTCATGGTTCAAGAGGAATGCACACATCTGACCGCTTGGTTGAACAAGGACTGAAATATGAGCCAACTGGGATGAAGTGTCCGATCCAATCCTATGCGTCGTGAACCAGAGGATGGAGAAGAATGAATGCTGTGCACGGTAACCAATGCAGGTCCAATCGTCAATTTACTGCCATGCTACTCGTTGGCAATGTCACTGTCGTAGGATCTGGGCACAATCTCCTTAAATCATGCAATCCTGAATGGAGAGGCGTGTTTACACTCTAAAAAATGGGTGAAAGTGTGCTAGACCGTTTCTTTTTGAATGCATCCCAATGTTGTTGGTCGGCATTGCTCAAATATTTGCCCAACTGTCAACTCGTTCATTCTCCATGTTCATATTTACCTTTTTGATTATATTTTCACCCTTTAGACAGAGATCTGGCAAAGCGCATTGCCAGGGAGATAGTTTCCTCCATGGATGACCTCTCGGACTCGGACTCTGGCTTTCATCTGCTGCTACCCGGTCTCTGTTTGGAGTCTCTTGGCTCGCTACACGAATACAGTGAGTATCCTCATTTCTGCCCACCTTGTGTCAGGACTCAGCTTCTTTGCATGCTTACGTTTGGCTCTATCAGACCTTCATAGATATGCAGAGTAACTGGGTTTCGAGGAGTCGCCTGAGATAACATTATTGGTTGGAGTTTCATTTCGTATGAAAGTGTATGAAGAAGAGATTCGAACGTCGATCTCAACAGAAGAGGACGGTTGAATCGCGTTGTACTGCAGTAGTTTGACTTTATACGACCTTCAGGTTGACGCAGTCAACAAGACCTACTTCCTAGTCTTTGGTGAAAACGGGCTCAGTTTTCGTCCATCATTCGATGGGCATCATCAGAGCTGGGACCCATTCTTGTAAAATTCTCACATGTAGCCATGCGGAGTTGCAGAAGGGAGCACTGATCTCGGATGCCCTGATCTTGGTACCTTCTGATTTAATTTGTCTTTTCTTGATGACTTGAATTTAATTCGACCAGCATTTTCAGTCATCTCGCCCGTGGATAGACTGGTTCTCTTTTAGATGAAGTGCTTACCATAAACAATTTGATTTTCTTGAAAAGTTGTTTCGTTTGATAGGGCGTCTGGAAGAGCTTGGCAATTTCACCTCATCGGAACCTGAAAAAGAATGTTGACCTTGCATGCTTGATTTGGAACATGTTTGAAGAATTAAGCATTGTTTTCGTGACTACCGGTAAATCAGTAATATGAAATTTATTCAGCCGATTTCGTTTAAGGTGATGAAGGACTAGTAGAAGAAGAATTTTCCCACAATCATATGAATTGAGCTGACGTTTCCATTCAATTTCACATAGCCTTGCTTTCCCAAAAGATGTTCTCATCCTTCAACGATATTGGGTGAATAC